TGCTACAACATGCATGTACTTTGAAGGCATTATGCTAAGTGAAATAAGCCAAATGCGAAAGGACAAATATTCTATGATTTCACTTATATGAGATACAAAGAGTAGTCAAATTCATAAAGACAGAAAGAAGAATGGTGGCTGCCAGGGCCTGGAAGGAAGGGGGAGTTATTGTTTAATGGACACAGAGTTTCAGTTTGGAAGGATGAATAAGTTCTATAGATGGAAGGTCATGATGATTATACAACAATGTGAATGTACTTAATGCCACCAAACTATACACTTAAAATGATTAAAATAGTAAATTTTATGTTATGTATATTTTACCATAATACAAAAAATAAAAAAGGACCTCAGTCTAATCCACTGATTTTACAAATGAGGAAACTGAGGTCCAGAGAGGTAAATTGCTCAAAAGCACACGGTTCCTTGAGCAGAGACTAAAACAGAGACCCCTGACTCAGTGCTCTTCTGTCTGACCCATATAATAATAATAATAATAATTAATAATAATAATAACAATAATAATAATGTAATCTCACATTGAAGAAACTTCATTTCTTTCACATAATTTTTTTTCTCTGATTCAAGCTGGTTTTGCTCAGATAATGGCATTGTGACTCACTTGCTTTTTTTCTGCCCTTATGCTCTGTATGCCGGCTCCTTCAATCATTAAGCCTTAGGACATAAGATTAACCAAGCCTCAGATCTATAATCACGAAGATAATAGGTTTCTGTTGGACTTTAGACTAAGGACAACATCTTGGCTTTAGATGTGTTCCAGCTCCAGGCCCATCGAGGCAAAACAACAACCCTACTGGCCACGGGAACAAACGGGATGGCACCATGGCTGATTCCAGAATCAGACACAACGATCAATTACTTCATCCCCTTCCAATCATCCAATCAGTAGCTGTCATGATCCCAACTCCCTTAGTTTCCATGACTATTGATTTTTCCCTATACAATCTGTACTCCAGAGACACCCAGAGCGCCAGGCCTTTGAGCCAGGACTTTGAGCGAGAGCCGGCCTGTGTCTGCAGGACTTGCAACTCTCTAATAAACCTTACTTTCTTGGCTGCAAAATTGGCACATATCTCGTCTTTGGCTTAGGCATGTACAGGCAGGCGGACCCCTTACAATAACCCATGAGACAGGTTATGTTTCTCCCCCCCTTTTTTTTTTCAGGTGAGGCAACTTTTGGTTGATCTCACAGATTACAAAGACCTTGTCAGTTTATAATCCCTTATTTTTTTTTATTTTTTTACACCTACAGCACCTGGTCTTCCAAGGTGGTCTCCCATCCAAGTACTAACCAGAACCGACCCTGCTTAGCTTCCGAGATCAGACGGGATCGGGCTTATTCAGGTATAGACTGTTTCTCTCTATTTTAGAAGAGAAGAAACTGAGGCATAGAGAAGTTACATGAGCTGCCAAGATGACCTAGTTAGTAAATAACAGATCTGCTTACTGGCTCTAGACTGGTATATCGAACTACTACACTGTACCGCCAGATCTTAGTTTTCATGTCCTACCCTCAATGGCAAGAATTCTGTCCATTCTTAGTATAGCAGACTGCAAAAATGTCCCAAATATTTACCCCTCACTTATCCATGCCCTCTGCAATATGACTTTGCAGCTTATCCCATCAAGAGGCAGAATCTACTTCTCCATTCCTTGAATCTCAGTTGGCCTTGAAATTTGCACTGGCCAATGAAATGCAATGAAAGTGATAATAAACTGATTCCAAGCATAGGGCCTCGAGATGCTTGTATGCTTCCTCTTTTTCAGAACCCTGCCACTATCATATAATTAGGTCTAGGCTGCCTGCTAGAGAAGGAGAAACCACGTGGAGGAGAGCCCAGTTGTCCAATCTGAGGCCATCTAAGATCAGTTTACATTTAGCCAGTCCTCAAACATGTGAGAGCGCCCATCCAAGATCAGCTGAGCTCCATCCATGGGCAGGATAATTTTTTGGGTTCTCTATACATGTGGGCTAATTGCTTTCCAGAACAGTTATAATGACAGATAACATTATGACTTGAGGGGATAGAATCAACCCTGTCAGCATTCTAGGCTGTGGGAAAAACATGGGCAAAAAAAGTTGAAACAGTGTGGGGTGCGTTTAAAGAACAGTGAGTATCCCATTTTAACTGTAGGCCAGTTGTGCTTATGGGGTTAATGGGAAATAAACCTAGAGAAGTAAATTAGATCTGGCTTAGTTTGCATCCAGTTTCTAGACTACCCTGACTTAGTTTAGCAGGTGTCGAGAAGCCTTTATATGTAGAATATGTTCATTTTCTCCTCACAATATCTTAACGGCAATACTATGATTTCCAGTTACAGAAAAGAGGTCCCAAGTCAGTATTTAAGTATAGGCCATCTGACCCCAGAACCTGCCTTATCCACTTACTACAAAACCATGATGGGGAGACTGAAGGTGGAGAAAACATTGTAAATATACTGCAACAGGCCAAGAAAGAAATTGTGAGAGGCTAACCTGAGGAAATGGCAATGGAGATAGGCAGGAAGCAATAGCCATGGGTGACATGCAAGAGAGTAGGCTATTGGACAGCAGACTGAGTGAACAAAGTGAAGACTAAAGGGAGTCAAGGAGGAATTCTAAAATGATGAGCCCAGGTAACTGGAAGGATAATTGGTGTCATCATCAGATGCTCAGAATGCAGAAACTGATTCAAACATGTTGATTCTGAAATGGCCTGTTTGGGGTAAACAAATAGAGAACTGCAAGTAGACTGAATGAACACAGAGTTAAAGCATGAAAAACATGTTTGGGGTCATCCGCAGAGAGCTAAATCTCAGTTTTCTTGTTTGTAAAATGAAGATGGTGTCCTAAATGCTCTTGAATTTTATCCAGCATGAAAAACAGAATTCCTATCAATGACAATCTACTGAGTTTTGCTGAAAAGTTCTTTGTTGGTAAGCAAGGGGGAAGAAACATAATGAGCTTGGATGTCATTTCACTCAATAATACTGGATTTTCTCCTTTTTGCAATTTTTTACTGAGAATTGAGTTTTTATTACTCTTGTGTCTATAAGCTTTAGAAAATCTAATGTTTAGTCCCCATTTTAAAATGTCATTTCTTACTGATTATTTTTTACTTGTTTTTTTTGTTTGTTTGTTTGTTTTGTTTGTGCGACTCAAAGTCAAAGAGAAAAGTAGCTAATATTTGTTGTATACCCACTATGTACCTTGTATCTTCCACAAAATATAATCTTGTGATGAATAAGTAATTTTAACACCATTTTACAAGTGAGGAGGTAAGGCTTATAGGTTAAATAAATTGACCAAAGTTAAAAGCTAATTAAGGGAGGTAAAATGAGCTTTATCTTTTATAGACTTCCTTTCATTGGTGTTTTTATTACAATGTTGGCTAATAAGAGATGAAGGTAATAAATGTTCTCTTTCCCAGAACACAAGTGGTTGAGAACACTGTTTAAAGATTTACGCTCCTACTCAGAAGATCTATTGTTAGTAAATGGCATGGAAGAAAGTGCCTAAACTACAGCCTGATGAGGAACATATGTGAATTCAATCTGAGTTCTGCCATGCTCACTTGAAGCATTTGGCAACCTATTTAACCCATCTGAGTCACAATTCTCTCAGCTGTAAAATTCAGAATAATAAAAGGTCAAGGTTATTATGAGAGCCAAGAAAGAAGAGAAAGAGAATATATGAAAGCATCCACCTCAGGCCTACCGGAGCACTCAATAAATGTTTCCTTTTTCTTTCTAAAAACTTTCAGGTCGCAGAATTTATGGCTAACACATGGACTTCATGTAAAGAATATTTATCATTTCCCAATTATTATGTTAATGATCAATTGTATCGAACTTAATTAGGTATGCATCAAGTGATTCTTTTAAAATCTTTGATAAGTGGGTAACGAAAAACATTGCCATATGAAAATTAATTATTGGTCTGCATCCATTAAAATTTATAGGTGAAATATGTTCCATGTGTTACACATGCAGGAAACTAGAAACCCATACCTGCAGCTGACTCACTAACATCAGCTGCCAGCACAGTCAGCACCCCTGATTCATTCATTCATCAAATAATAAATCTCAACTAAATGGCATACACATCAAACAAAAATTTAAATTTATAAGTAGTTCTTTCCCCAGGCAGGAGGTAAAACAGTTTGTTCATAAGTAAGCAAAGAATCTAAAAAAAAATCACTGTTTTTAGCTTTCATTTTTCCAGTTGTGACTCCTCTATTCTTTCCTCATATGCTCTTTTTGGTTCACCTAAACATGTACCCTAAAAAAATATGATTAATTTATCCTCATTAAAGCATAACTGAGTGATAAAGCCTAATCCATTCCAGGGGCATTTGTTTACAACCATAATCGGGAATAAGGTCACTGGCTTGAATGAAAAGAATGAGATTCTACTGATGAATGTTAAGTATCTGAAAAGCAACAAGAAAGAACATTTTTAGTCATAAGTCTTTATGTTGCTGCCCAAGTCAACTCAATTGGCCACCTCTAGCATTTAAAACAGGATATGTCAATCGCATACCCCTGATCAGAGCTACAAGGTCCTCATTCTGCTTATGACACCACCACCACCACCACCACCACAGCTTTCAAACCACTGTCATTAGCTTCCTAGGATTCTCAGCCTTTGTTCTGGGAAACTGTGAAGCCAGGACTATTGTTAAAGCAGCCAGTGTGGGTGAGAATTTGAGTTCAAGCCTAGGAAGCACCATTGGATGAGGAGACCTGCCTTCACTGTTGCATATGAACCAAACCCCACTACTCAGAAAAGTAGTTGCCACTCATACAGAGGACAATCACCACAGAGTCCATTTTAAGCTCAGAAAGGAAAGTCCTTCCAGGACTGAACAATTCTCTGTAAAAACTTTCCCACTTGGATCTCTACCTAAAGATTAGCAGAGTTTTCAACACAACAAGTATCAGTTACCTACCCACCCCCGCCCCCCCACCACCACCAAGCTCCCCCCAGTGTAACTTACCTGAGATCCATATCTCCATCAACCCAGAAGGTGAAGATGTTAGAGATGGTTCCCCCTGGGCAGCACCCCATGATGAGCACACCAATAGCTTGGATGGGCTTCAGAGAGAAGCTGATGACCAGGAAATAGGCAATTAGAGGCATGAGCCCAAACTGGCAGAGCAGTCCCACAGCAATGCCCCAGGGTCTCCTGATGTGCGACCACAGCTTCCGGATCTCCACAGAGCACCCCAACGAGAACATGAGCAGGCCCATCATCACGGCTGACACCACTGTGAAAACAAGTTCCAGAGTCCCAGGTACCTGCAGCCCCACTGGCAGCTCCTCCTCCGAATTGTTGGCAGGGCAGGCTGAGCTGCTGGAACAATTTGCTCTCATCTCCTTATTTCCTTACGGCAGCATTACAAATGAACATCTGCCACAATGGCTGGGCAAGCCTATCCTGCCACGTTTTGTAATAATGCAACAAAGTCAGGCGTGGAGAATCATTCCAATAGCTATTGGCCAGCCAGGTGATTCATCCTAATCTGATCAATTCATTTACGAGTGCCATTATAAAAGCAATTATCATGGGCATGAAACATATAATAAACTGTGGTAAGTAAGGCTTTCCACTTCTGTTCTTACTCACCACTGAATATTCAAGTGAAATGAGACAAGCAAACTTATTGTCAAGTGGAGTGACTGGGCTATGTCGTCAGCATCACATTGTGTTCCAGGAAAATAGATTGGATGCCAAGACATAATTTCTCCAAATTCAATGAGGATTTCAAAGAGCTGAGATGCAATGTTTTGCAGAGATAAAGGCTGATTCTGGAAAAAACAAAGGCAGCTAAGCCAAAGCTCCACGTCACAGCAAAGCATTTCCGTTGAAAATTTTAAAGCAAAAGGCTGCCAGATAAGGAAATGTCAGGAGGGACTAAGGATCATTTTGAGAAAGCTTCAGAATTAGTCTCAGTTTTTCTTCTTTCTATTTCTATTAGCATTTGTGTCTAAAGTTAATAATTAAACACCTGTAAGAATAATATGATATTAAGCACCTGACTTGGTCTCATGAAACATTTCTGTACTCAAAATAATTCTTTTGGAAAATAGCATTGGCTTTGTGATGCCACACCCCTGGGCCTTCTGGTGAAGTCTGGGAATTCTGCAAGGGTGTAGTAAAGACCTTGTCTGGAGTCTGAAAATGGTCTGAGGTCAGCATCTGACCGCAATGGCCCAGGGGCCCCTCTGTGTATTCTAACCAGGCACCATGGTGAAACCAGACGAGGAAAATATGGTTCTGTGAAACCAAACCTCCAAAATAGCAGGGGCCACACCCGTTCTCACAGAGAGCAGAAAGGTTATTTATGGGGCAAAGGTTGGTGACAAGGCATTCTTTATAAAAGCATCTGCCTGTCTTAAGAGGAATACTAGCTATGCATTGTTCATTTGTGGATTAGCAAATTATTTTCCATGATAAAATGGGCGTGCTTACTGAATAAAAATAAAGTTGAATACAAATGTAAAATAAAATCTAACTATTTGAAGAAAGTATAAACTGTCCTAGACCAACACACCCCAAAGCATCTCTGAAGGTAGAACCTCGCTGGAGGCCAGTAGAAGTCAGCATGACAACTTGTTGCCATCAACTCTTGGTTTACACCTGAGAACAAGCCAATGTTTACACCAAGCTTAGCAAGCCTGT